CTCTAGGTAAGTGGAAATTTAGAGTCGTTACAATTCTTGCCTTGAGATATTTGTTTAATAAGGTAATCCAAATCTTACTTATTTTTTTTTAGTGATTCCTTATTATAATGATATGAACCAAGATATCAATCATACATTATAAAATTCAAGGAAAATGTGAAGAAAATGTTGTTCAAATTATCACAAGATGTTGCAATTCATGTCACATTAAAGAAGAATCAAACTTCATTTATTCTTAGAAGGTACAAATTTTGGGTAGACGATAATTTTAAGTTATAGTATTTCATTAATGTATTTTAATACATTTATTTACTTGGTTACATTTGTATAGTTTCTAATTATGGTCATAAGATATGAAAGTTACAACTATTGAAATGTCTCAGGAAAGGTTACGAGTTTTCATTTCGAGGCTATATAAAACCATGGATGTTGTATTTGTAAGGTAGACTTGGAAATGTAGTAAAAATACCATTTGTGCTTTCTTTTAGCCAATGACTAAGTTTTTTTTTTTTTTTTTTTGCAGTCTATGTAGTTTAGATTGCATGTTTAGAATCATTCAAATTTGACATGATCAATCTTTCTTGTAGAGTGATTCGAATCATTCAAAGAAGTGTTCTTGGGTTGAGATATTTGATTAACAAAGTAATCCAAGTCTTACTTTTTCTTGAGATGAAATGAAATTGATTTAGAGGTTTTAACGTTTGTGAACCAAGAATTTGTATATCGAAACGCTTATAAAAGATCTTAAATTCAACTGGCTAGAGTTTCCTTCTCCCAATCCCTAGAACTATGAATTAACCTACCCATATTCATAAAATAACAGCACAATCAATATTAGAACCATGAAAAAACTACAAAAGTTGAAGGAGAAGGAAAAAAAAATCAGTTCATGTTCAATTTCTACTCTATTTTTGAGTGTTGTGAACATGTTATGTAAATAAAGAAGATATACTGAAATCGTTTTCTTCTTCCTCTGGACTAGAAGAAGATGTGCACGTCATTTGTGTCGACGTCTAAAAATTGCCTTCCACAACTCTGATCATACCGTTTCTTCCCTCGATTTCTTCATGAAACTTAAAGATGGTGTTACAAGGAAGAGCTAGGGATTGATTCCATACCTTCTCATGGATTGTAGCCTAAGATATTAGCTTCCAAAGTTTGTCCAAAATCTTATTTCTCCGCGGAGCAAAAACAGAGGATTTCGTATTAGGTAGTCAATTCTAGGAGTTTTCAAGGCCAAATTTCTTCGTGGAACCTCTTTCATATCCTTTTCTCATGCTAAAGGAATTGGTTTGGAATAACTTTTGTGAGTGTGTACCCAATTTTAGAAAATTGCTCTCACCCTTCAAGTTACCGGACACACCCGATTTTCGATCTCTTTGGTAGCTTGTTCTATGACGTTACAGCTCTGGATTCCTTTATCAAAGTTACTCAAATTCTTCCTTCATCAAAATGGACCGTAGATTCGAAACTTACCCACAATTTGAGCCCGAAACTGATTTTCTTCAGTTAGGCACATTCCTAAGGTTATTTCTCTGTGTGGTCTTCTTTGGAAACATTCCTTGGAGGTGTAGAAACTTATTGGGATCGTCCTTGCTCGAGAATTACCGTGTATCCTCAAATTGGATTTTTGAGTTTTCCTTAAAGCTCTTTAGTAGCGGATTGGATTGGGGGAATGGTTTCTGGGCATTTTCACTACTCTATTCTTTCATAGAACTTGTGGATAATCTTGTTTAGAAACTATAGGAACAAGTTGGAAGAGGAATGGTGGAGAATTGCTTTCGAATTTGGAAGAAATTTGAGAGTAAGAGACCCAAAATCTAAATGCTTATTGCTTACAATTGGAAGCTCGACATTGCCCGATTCTTGTTCCAAACTATTGTCCCAACTTCAGATTTTATAGGGGAAGCTTCCATCGACGTTGAAACCTCCAGAATTTTCGTGATTTGGAGATTGAATTTTTTGGATAATTCTTTGGAAATATGATCAGAGCCTTATTGGCCTTGGTTTTGAATCCTAGTCGTTGGATGTGATGATATGTGAGTGTTCTAGATTATATCCAATTTTGGAGGAGAACCAATGGCTAAGAGTCGAGATTCGATAGATTTTGTGCAATGGTCACGGTGGAGGTTCTTATTTCTAGTAGAATGGCACTTTTGTAATTATCCATAATTTTTCTACCTTTTGAACTAGATAAGGAATTAAAAATTTAAAAAGTTCCTTAAAAATTGAAAAAATGACCTTTTCATCATTTTCGCTTACTTTTTCCTTTCCGATCCTTCTCCAAATGCTTTTTAAGTCCTTAAAATTACTTGTTAGGATATAGAAATAATTTGCTTAAGACTTCTTGATCTTTTTCATTTCTTTCTTTTATCCTTTTGGTCTTACATGGGCCATTTATTCTTGTTGAAGCTATTTTTCCTTTAATTTTTTAGTGTCACAAACTTTGTCGTTTGAAATGGGGTTGACTGAGGTATTCTAGGGAAGAGGTTGCCGGAGGTTAGTGGATAGATGGGCGTTGAGGCTTGGTTACATGATTTTTAGTATGCTCTAGACAATGTCTAGATATTTTCATATCATATTCTTTTGTTGCAACACTTCTTTAATCGACTTGAATGCTTCAAATTACTCTTCAAAGCTTAAGCATACCTTATTTTTCATTTGAATCATCAATTTCACGCTAATTCCTCCATATTCTATATGTGAGATTTTAGATCGATTGGGGAGGAGAACGGAACACCCTATATAAGGTTGTGGAAACATATCCCTAGCAGACATGTCTTAAAAATCTTGAGGAGAAGTCCGAAAGGGAAAATCTAAAGAGAACAATATCTGCTAGCGGTGGACCTGAGCCGTTACAAATGGTATCAGAGCCAAACCTGGCTGTTCCCCAAAGGGGGTAGACACGAAGCTGTGTGTCAGTAAAGACGTTAGGGCTCGAAGGGGGGTGGATTTGGTGGGGGTCCCACATCGATTGGAGAAATAACGAGTGCCAGCGAGGACACAGACCCCTGAAGGGGGGTGGATTGTAAGATCTTACATCAGTTGCAGAGGAGAACAAAACACTCTTTCTTTATAAGGTGTGGAGCCCTCTCCGTAGCATACACCTTTTAAAAATCTTGAGGGAAAGCTCAAAAAAGACAATATTTACTCGAGATGGACCTAGGCCGTTACACTAGAAGTACCCAAATACATACACGAAAATACTAAAATATATGTCAAAACTACCCACGAACTTAAATTTAGGAATGTGAGCTATGTGTACTAAAAATTACTCAATTATATTTTAGAAAGAGGTAGGTATCTATTATCTCAATCCTTCGGTTTTCGACACGTGTAAGAACCCTCCAAGCATCTTACCAACCAAAACAATACATTTTTTTAAACATTGGAGGTTGGTAGACATTGAACATCACCAATAATGGCCAAAGCAAAAGGAAAGTAATAAAATAAAAACTAGTCACATGCCATGCTTGATAGAGTAAAGCCAAAGAATAGATGCTATTGATGTTCCCTTGGGCAGCTCACAACCAATTATCCAATCAAATAATGCCACCACCACAAAAGTTTATTTCAATATTTTACAATAATATATCTACATGTGACTTAGAATATATTCATCAAATATAAAATCCCTAAACTAATGTTTGTATGTGTATGTAAGGAATAATAAAGTAGATGAGCTAAGATAAGGTTAGATAAGACTGTTTTTTTCCCTTTTATTTTATAATTCTTCTATAAGTTTATTTTTAAATTTTAATTTTTCTTCAATTCTCTCTCTAGTGCAGGAACTCGAGGAGACTCGAAGCGTGGAAAAATGGAATTTTATCGGTGATTAGCCACTAGATCGATGAAGAATGTCTCCCCAATTTTCTCTTTAGTGATCCATCGGCCACTAAATCCAGAATAAGAAAATGCTTTCTGTCCGCGCTAAAATGGGAGTTTTTCGCCTTTCTCGATACTTCAACCACGTGATCGAGACCCAAATGAGCATTCTTCAGAAATTTGACGGGTCTTCACAGAAGGCCCAGAAATTCTTTTAAATTAAAATAAAATAATGTCGATTATTTAATAAATTATTAAAATATCAAAAGAAATTAGAAAATGGAGAGTATTATTTGGCCACACAAAAGACAAGTAAGGCATGCTCTTTGGACAAATAAAACAAAACAAAAATGTTCAACGCACCTTAAAAATAGAGAAAAAGAAACAATAATGAGTCTAAAGAAAAGGGATGTGAAAGGGGGAGTGGATACATGGTAGGAGTACATTGGAGAATGTGAATAATAATATGCTATTATGAGCACATGTTTGTTTTGTTCTCGGTTAGGATGTGCATTTTTGTAACCGTCCAAGCCCATTGCTAATGGATATTGTTCTCTTGCGCTTTTCCTTTTGAACTTTTCCCTCAAGATTTTAAAACGCGTATGCTAGGAAGAGATTTCCACACTCTTATAAAGAATGTTTCGTTCTTCTCTCCAACCGATGCGGGATCTCACAATTCACTCTCATTTAGGGTAAAACATGGCACTCGTTTCTCTCTCCAATTAATGTGGGATCTCACAATCCATCCTCATTTAGGGTCCAGTGTCTTTGTTGGCACACTGTCCGGTATCTACTCCTTTCGAGGCCCAACATTCTTTATAAGAGATTTTCACACCCTTATAAAGAATGTTTCGTTCCTCTCTCTAACCGATGCGGGATCTCACAATTCACCCCATTTAGGGTTAAGCAAGGCACTCGTTTCTTTCTCCAATTAATGTGGGATCTCACAATCCATCCTCATTTAGGGTCCAGTGTCTTTGTTGGCACACTGTCCGGTGTCTACTCCTTTCGTGGCCCAACATCTTCGTTCGGTATCTTTAACCATAAAATAGTAGCTTTGAGATTGTATTGGCTCATAATTGATGAGTTGTTTTAGTCCACATGGAGAAGGGAATAATCAATAATGCAAGGAAGTGAAAGAAAAGACAGTTCCCTTCTTTAGCTTTCATTGTTATTATAAAGTCCATCTCCTTCCCCCCTGCCTCTCTTGTGGATTTCTCAAAGCTTTTCAATAATGGAAGGTGTGCTTCATTTACAAAAGCAGCTGCTTGATTACACACTCTCACTCTTCAAAGAGGTTAGATATTGAATACAATTCAAAAAATACTCTTTTCGTCCCGACTTCTGTTTATGTTATCCGAGTTTAGATGTCTTATTCACCGAAATTTGTTTGTGCATTATATTTGCTCGGTTATGTTTGTATTGGTACAAATAAAACTGTAACGACCTAGACCCACCACCTCCTTTCGCGCTTTCCCTCAAGGTTTTTATAACGCGTCTGCTAGGCCTTATAAACTGTGTTTCCTTCTTCTCTCCAACCAATGTGGGATTCTCACAATCCACCCTCCTTCAAGGCCCAGCGTTCTCGTTGGCACTCGTTCCTTTCTCCAATCGATGTTGGACCCCCACCAAATCCACTCCCTTTAGGGCCCAGCGTCTTTACTGGCACACCGCCTCATATCTACCCCCTTTGAGGAACAGCCTACTCGCTGTCACATGGGTCAATGTCTGGCTCTGATACCATTTGTAATGACCTAGACCCACTGCTAGCAAATATTGTCCTTTTTGGATTTTCCCTTTCGGGTTTCCCCTCAAAGTTTTTAAAGGTTTCCACACCCTTACAAAGGTTGTTTCGTTCTCCCCTCCAACAAATATGAAATTCTCACAAAAACTACGGTCCTTCATAATTTTTGCATATGATTTGAAGGGGATAAAATATTATGCGGGTTTTCAATAGTTTTGTGTTTTGTTTAGGGATATTTGAATGATGAATTCAAAGAGCTTCAAAGTTTGCAAGATGAGAGCAATCCAGAGTTTGTGGTGGAAGTGGTTTCTATATTCTTTGAAGACTCTCAAAGGCTTATCAATGAACTTGCTAAAGCTTTGTATGGGGAAATTTATTATTTGAATGATTTGGATATCTATTTATTTGCTTTGTTGATTCTTAAAACAGATTCCTTTTTCATTGCAGAGATCACAAATGTATTGATTTCAACAAAGTTGATGCTTATGTTCACCAGTTGAAAGGCAGCAGCTCAAGGTTCACTTTTCCCTTTTCTTCTTTCTTATTCCTTCCCTATTCACTTATCTCATAAATCGACCTTCACCGACCCTGTTGGAAGAATTTGAATCTCTAACCTATTAGTTCAAGATATATACTTTAACCGTTAAACTATGTTCGAATTTAAAATAATTTTTTCTTTTTTTTTTTTTTTTTTTTTTTTTTGCATTCAATTCAGATATCCCGAATGTGATTAAGTGTTGATATTAAAAAATTAGAGGTGTACACGTGTTGGGTTAGCAAAATCGTTTGAACAAACTCAAAATATGTGATTGGGTGGGTTAGTGACCCGAGCAATCCAAATAGAGTTCACAATCTAACCCAACCCAACCCTTCAAATTGTTTAGAGTTTTTTTTTTTAATTATTTAAAAAAATCTTACTGTACGCTAATAATTTAAATGTCATAAACAGAGCCAATATATCACTAACATAAATTATAAATGTCAAATATTTTGAGTTTTTCATAATAATTTTAACAGTAGGTTTAGGGTTAGGCTGTAATTTTATTTTCGGGTTGGTCGGGATGAATTGCCCCAGAAAATGTCAACCCAAGAATTGAGCCGAATTTTTTATTTTAACTTAACCGAACCCGAAAAAAAAAATAATTAAAAATATTAAAACTCAAAAAATAATAATATGAATTTTTGGTTTTTGACTGTTGGTAATAACGCAGCATTGGAGCAAACAAAGTGCAGATGGCTTGCATTCCTTTCCGCACCAACTGCCAGGACAAGAATATTGAAGGGTCAGTTGTTTATTTATTTATTCATTATTAGTATTAAAATTTGAATATTTATTAACTAATAAAAAAAGAAATTGTAATTTTTTTCATTTATTTTTAATATTTAATATTTAATTTTTTTAATTTTGAAGGTGTCTGAAATGTTTACAACATGTGAAGGAAGAATTTGCTTCGGTGAAGGACAAGTTCGAGACTCTCTTCAAGGTTGTTGGATTATTTCGTTTAATAAAAATTTTATTTATTTATTGTTTTTTCTTTAAATAATATATTTTTGTCTCTCTTTTTTTTTAAAAAAAAAAAAAATCTATAATTTTTTCATAGGGTGTTACAAAAATTAATTGATATAAAAACCCATAACCCAACCAGTACAGTTTGGGTTTGGTTAAAATAAATAAAAATTTGATGGACCATTTATATTCCTTAAAACTTGGATTTAATCCAATCCACTATAGCAAATATTGTCCTTTTTGGACTTTTTTTTCTTGTGTTTCCCTCATGGTTTTAAATCGAGTCTGTTAGAGAAAGGTTTCCACACCCTTATAAAGAACGATTTGTTCTCCTCTCCAACCATTCTGGGATCTCACAATCCACCCTAGTGGGACCAACGTCCTCACTAGCACACTACCCGGTAACCTAGCTTTGAGTCTCAAGACTCAAAAAGGTCATAAGCGGACCTAATCTAATCCACGAACATCCATACTCTCAATGTAACTAAAACCCATGAAAAAGGGAAATAAAAGAAATTGATTGTAAATGTTAATTATATTTGATTAGATAAAAATTAGGAGCTTAATGATTGTTTTTGCGTTGACATTGCAGCTAGAGCAACAGCTTTTGGAAGCCCATGCCTCAAATCCAATGTAACAACCAACCAATCAAAACACAAGAAATAAAAGTCAACGGGATTTTTGACTTGTAATTATTATTATTATTATTATTATTATTTTTTTTTTTTGCCTTTTTGAAATAATGTCATAATTTTTTTTAAGGATCCAATTTTCTAAACCCTAGATCAGCTCGGGTTTATTGTCATATACATGCTTATGTCATTTAAAGAGGAAACGAAAACATGCTCGTTGCAAGCTCATATTATTTTAATAGAAATCATTAAATCTAGTACGAGTACCCCTTACATGTTAAGTTAATTAATTGGAAATAAATAAAAACTTTACTATCAACCACTAGAGTTTGTAGTTTAAAAGTGAAATAGAAATAAAAGATGTGAAAGGTCAAATTGGCATAGACTTAACGACTACGTATAAAAAAAACAAAAAATCGCTCGGTCGCCAAAAAAATATGACCACACATATATTTAATCAATTTGAATCCCATTCAAATTTTAAATATATATTTTTATTTAATATATCTCGCAAAATTAATTATTTTAATAGGTAATGTATCGAATAAAATAAATATATTTTTATCTTTTAAAATTTAATATATATAAAATATTCAATCTTGAGATATGGTTTTCCCCTTTTATACATAATATAGTTGTAATGCCCAAGAAAGGGTAGAAACAAAAATGCTGGAAATAAGAAAAATGACCTTAACAATCGGGAAATTGGAGAATACCTCTCAAGGTCAGAACCTCTAAAATAGCTCTAAAAGTTGATATATTGCAAAACTAGCCTTAAAAGTTCAGAGGGAGAGAAGAGTTCCATCTCCTTGTCAGATCTCAACGCTCTTCTCAAATCATCTCAGTTTCAGATAAAAAAAAAAAAAAACAAAAATGCCAATCAGCAGTTACTTGCGATTGAATGTGTAAGCTATATTTCAGATCTCTTTTTTTTTTTTAATAAAAGATATAGCCTGTAAACTATATTTCAGATCTCTTTTTTTGGTAAAAGATTTAGCCTGTAAGCTATATTTCAGATCTCTTATTCCCTGTAAAAGATTTAGCCTATAAGCTATATTTTAGATCTCTTCTTTTCTGTAAAAGATTTAGCCAGTAAACTATCAGATCTCTTCTTTCCTTATCTAATTATTTAGATTTTAAATAGCATCGATGGAAAATCTTCTAATTAAAAGAACATTGGCAAACAATATCTGTGAAAAGATTTAAAAGATAAGTAAAAAGGAAACTTTAGTTAAAATAAATATAGAGGAAAAAGGAAAATTTAACCGAATAAATACATAGATGAAAAAGGAAAAATCTAATTGTGAATACATAAATGAAATTTAACATAATTTATAGGTAAAACAAGAAATATTAGAGCCAGGAAACTCATCAAATTTTTCCTTAACAATATTTTTCCTAAAAGAGTAATAATAGAAAATGAGATTTTAATAAAGAATAGAATTATATATCTATATATACTCATAAATTCTCACACATGAAATCTAATATCTGGACCATTGTAAAATTTAAAGAATTGAAATATAAATTGTTGTCGGTTCTATAGGTTGATTGGGATACAAATGACAAAATCGAACTCTCAAAATTGGTGACAGCCTAAACTAATCAGGTAAGTGTAAAAAATTTAAATAAATAATAAATAATAATAATTAAAAAATAAATGATAGACTCTCCCCCACCTTCCCCAAATATCTCTAAAAAAAAGATTACAGATTTTGGGAGAGAAAAATTGGAAAAGGCTTACTTGAACAGATTTAAGGGAAAGAGATAAGTAGACCTTATTTTGTTTTATTTTTGAAAAGTTATGTTAGATCTCTTTTTCAATTATTTAGATTTTAGATATTTACCAGGTTGAAAATGGACAAAGTACATTATTAAAAAAGAAAATCTTTTCTTCCATTACCAAATTATTTAGATTTTAGTTAGCGTTATAAATCATGTCAAATTTTTAGATGAAATCATAGATCTTTTCTTTTATACAATTATTTAGAATCAGATCTCCTCTTTATTTATTAAACTGCTAAACAAAGAAGAAAGAATTAAATAGGGAGATCAGAAAAGAAATAAAGGGAGAAAGAATTAAATAGGGAGATCAGAAAAGAAATAAAGGGAGGAAAAGAAAAAAAAATAATAATAAAGATGAAGGAAAAAAATAATAATAATAGAGAGGAAAAGAATTAAACAAGGAGTTGAATCAGATCTCCTCCTCATTTACTAAACGGCTAACAAACTAAAGGAAGGAAAAATTAAACAGGGAGATTGGAAAAGAAATAAGGAGAGGAAAAGAAAATAATAATAATAATAATAATAATAATAATAATAATAATAATAATAATAATAATAATAATAATAATAATAATAATAGTAGTAGTAGTAGAGAGGAAAGGAAAAAGAAAGAGATGTCTAAAAACTAAAAGAGAGAGATAGAGGAATATATATATATTTAACAAAGTAAATACAGAAAAAGAAAAGAGGAGACAAGGGAAGAAGAAGAGGGAAGATTTGTGAACAGAATTAAAATAAATACAGAAACAATTTGACAGAGTAAATACATAGAGTAAAAAGGATGATCTATATATATATATAATACTCATAAAGTCTCTAATGCTCACATGAAGTTTAATACGGACCATTGTAAAATTAATTTAGAGAATTGAAATTGATGTAATAATTCATATAGGTTGGCTTGGATACAAAGAACAAAACTGAACTTGATAAATTGGTGATACAAGTCTAAGCTAATCAGGTAAATGGCCTTACTATCGGCTCAATCGAAAGATTTGTCTTATGTATGATGACACGTGCCTAGCAGCCGTTGCACATGTCATTTATGCTTTTTGTTATGTGATGATGTGATGACGTTAGATAGTGATGCGATGTTGTTATAAGATGATGTGATGTTGTTATATGATGATGTGATAATGTTATGTAATGACGTGATAACGTTAGATGATGATGTGATGATGTTATATGGTGATGTGATAATGTTATGTGATGATGTGATGACGTTAGATGATGATGTGATGATGTTATATGATGGCTTGATGACGTTAGATAATAATGTGATGATATTATATGAATGACGTACTTGGTATGCTTGATGCACTTTCTGACAATATGATGAGTATGATGATTGTGTGACGTTTACCTTAATATGATGATGTTTTCCATATTGAGCATGTTATATGATGATGAGTGTCATATTGCATCATGTCGTTAGATCAACATAGGACACAACCCTAAGAGCATGAAAATGATATTAATATAAATATCCACGAGTACGTGTTACCTAGAGTAACAAAGAGATGAGACTAGAGGGTTGTGTCAGAAGAGACGTTATGATGGATTTAGAGGGACCTCATGCATATTGTATGTTCATAAGCATAGGGTTACTTTCCCTAGAGATGATGAGTGTGGCCGCGCACAATATGATGATGAGTGCGAATGCGCACAGACGAGGGTATTCATTGTTGGAATTTATGCCCTAAAGTCTCGTAATTAATTATTTAGTTTTTAACAATAATTTATATTATTTTATTTGTAATTTAATTGTTATCCATGGTATGAAAATCCAAGGTTATTAATGTAATCTTGAATAGTATGTGGTTGACATACAAGAGGATCGTGTTTAAGTAATAACCTAAAGAGTCTATAATATATGAATAAGGTTGGTGCCTTATCTTGGTAACACTATTGATACGGCTCACTTTGTAATCGTTACTGTAACGACCCTAAATTTCCACATACTCAGAGTTGCTACTAATGTCTCATGCTCATCTATAATGCTGAAATATAACTCTTACATGAATATAATTGATAACGTAAACTTAAAAAAAAAACGTTTAAAATAACTCCTTCACTGGAAAACACAGCCATGGTCTTACGTGTTTAAATATGAAATACTGAAATTTAGAGAAAACAAATACAAAATAATTTAAAACAATGAAATGCAAAACAACCTATTCTAACTTAAGACTAGAAATTTAAATATGAGTCTACCTTATGCACGTGCCACAGTCTCTGCTCGCGATGCCGCCGTCCAACGTACAAGTGCGCCTTGCCTTTACCTGAAAAATGATGTGGCACACGGCCTGAGTATTTCAAAGAATACTCAGTAAGTGGCCCCACTATAGGGGCCATGCAAATGCAAACACATGCAATCATGATTTAGGGACCTATCTCTAATCATCTTAGGGGTGGCCTCCCGTCTCGGATAAATTGGATGTGTAGTACTTTCCTACACACGGCTCACACTGTAACGACCCGGGAAAGAAAGAAAGAAAAAGAAAATATTATATATATATATATATATATATATATATAATAAATAAATAAATGAAAACAAGAAAACGAAAACGAAAAAAAAAAAAAAAAAAAAA